AGATTATTAGGTGTGTGAGGTACCTTATGTTTGTATAGTTTTGTAGTTTTTACAGTATTTTCATGTACATTTTCATTCTAGGCTTCTAACATCCCTAGAATTACTTAGGTTTATATCATTATCTCCTTTTTTCAAATTAAGACCTGAGATATAGAGTGCTTAAGTGATTTGCCCAAGGTTACACAGCTAGTTTAGGGAGAGAACTCAGACTAGTCTTCTGACTTTCAAGATTAGTGCTCTTTCATCTAATAACAAAACACAGCCCCTTGATGAAACTTCTGACCCTTTTCCTCATCCAAGTATATTTCTAGATTGATTCTAGATGAGTACTGACCTATGATATTTCACTGGTGTGGGTTCTCAGTATGGAAAAACTCCCTTCATCAGTGAAGATCAGAAACAATTGTACATTGTATAGCCTTAGAGAGTTCCCTCAACGCTTAGAGGTAGGTAAGGGCTGTGCCTCGGGCAAAGTATGTGTCTGAGGGAGACCTGAAATGAAGTCTTCCTGACTACCAAGCTGGTTCTCTAACCATTATGCAATGACGCCTAACTTATCTTAAAAAAATTTGAATAATATGTTAGATGCTAAAAATACTACCTTCAAGTTTCTTTTTTGTTGGTTTTTTAAATTTAATTTAATTTAATTTTTAGTTCTAAATCTCTCCCTCCCTTCCTCTTCTTCCTCTACTTATTGAGAAAGTAAGGAAAACAAAACCTGTTACAAATATGTAGTCATGCAAAATAGATTTCCACATTAGTTCCACTGATCAGCCTCTTCATTTCTTACCAGTACAAAGTTGTTTTGATGATTCCAGCTTTGTAGTATCATTTGAGATCAGATACTGCTAGGATCCTGCCTTAAAGTTTTAATTACAAGTCCTCAGATGTACAAATAGAGAGAGGTTTTTTTTTGATGTTTGGGGCAGTTAGAGAAGAGATGGGTGTAGTGGATAGTGTTGGAATAGAAGTCAGGAACATTTTTTAAATTCCTGTCTTAGACACTCATTAGCTGTGTGACCCTGGGCAATTTACGTAACCTTCCTTAGCCTCAGTTTCCCCATCTGTAAAAAAGGGATAATAATATCACCTATCTCACAAGGTTGTCATAAGGAGCAAATAAGACAGCAGCTATTGTTGTTGTCATCCTCATTATCGTTGTGACACTACAACATTTTGCATTTCTTCCTCAGAGTGGAGATGGGGAACTTGAGGGAGGAATATTAGAAAAAGATGACAGTGTCTAAGAGTATCCCCTTTTAAATTTTCACATTCAGTAATTGAAAGTGGTTTCCTGATTACATGATGAAAATTACTGATTCTGGGAACAGAACTGGATTCCAGAACTAATTCTGAAAGCTTATGATTACGTTTAAAATACATGCGTATTTCATAGTCTGGAGGGTTCTAGAGTAGTTCTACCATATGGTTTGATGTTATCTATATCAGTAATTTAATTTTGTTATGTATTTTCACATGGCTACATATTAAGAAATCTAGTCTTCACTCTTTTCCACTATATAGATGAGACTCATTTTCTTAGGAAAGAGACAATAAATATACTCAATTTTTATAATACATGATCATATAAAAACTCAAGAAAAAATTAATTTAATTAACTGTACAGTTTTTAGACTCAATGTTATAGATATTTGACATTTACTAAAGAAGTTAAAATATCCTGGAAATGTTAGATTAAAAGTGAACCAGTAAAATTCATTAGTTTACTTCTGAGATTATGTAGAAGCCCTGAAAACCATGTGGGCATATGTCTGCCCATGCAGATATTTCCAAGACCACTGGAATGGTATTAACATTCCGTGTGTGGGTTTCAGATTGCTTCATGTCTTTTTTCAATGATAAATTTAAAAGTCATGAATAAATTCAAGGGCCACTCTTAAGAAACAACTGTAGTGATTGTGAAATTCTAGTTGACTTAATTCTGAATTCCACAGATGAAAACTTGACTGGATGGATTCAGTGCCAGAAAATATAAAAGCCTCTTCTCTGTGATTGCTACTGTAGTGCCTGGAATGCAATGCCCTCATTGTGGACAGGGCGGGGCCATCACATTATTTGTCAAATTGCACAAAGGTAGCTGTAGTTCAGAGTACTACTGTTGCGGTATTTCTCAGGAGCATTCACGATGTAAAATTAGTTTCTCATTAGGAGAGTCTTAAGAATTTGTACCATTGCAGTGTTAGGTACAGTTTTTGTTCCAAGTCTTTCCTTGACGTGCCCTCATCAAGGAATATTTCCAGTAGAACTTGTAGTATTAGAAAAATAAAAATTCCATACAACTTCGAATCCAAAGAACCCCAACACCAACAAAGAAAACTTGGCTAGAAATTGGAACCAGAAAATAATAATTTAGCCCCAGACTATTTCCAAAAGTCAGTTTTCTAGCCCCTTTACCTATCTAAAAACATGGATTAAGAAATAAATAGAAAAGGCCTTTGGTCGCCCCAGACCCGTCACATAATCCTGGCACTAGAATCTGGGTACTTTACTTTTAGGGGGATGTCCTCATGCAAAGTTGAGAGGTGGCAAATTAGAAGGGAATGTTGTGATTGCTAGAGGCAGTCCTTCTGAAATAAGACTATTCAATTTAACCTGGAAAAAGAGAGTGGGGGTGGGAATAATGTATGAACAAAAGTATAAAAGGGAGATGTAAGAATTTAATTAGAAGACGGGGACCATTTCAGCAAGCAGCTTAAATTGGACCTGCGATATCACTCTGTTGAAGTATATTTATTGATTCTTATGTATCAAAAATGATTAAAGGGCTTCAAAAATGTTTGGACACTTAGAGGATATAACAGTGTTTTTTTGAAAATCATTTTTGTTTAAAAAAAAAAAGTCATTTTCTAACCTTAAAGGATAAATGTCTCCTTACTACAATACTTAATATCTAGCATTATAACCAACATTTCTGGTAACTGTAACAAAAGTCAAAGAATATATTTGATGTGGTTATTAGCTTTTCTCCCAGTTAATCCAGTGTGACATTTTCAGCTTCCTTTAAGAGTGCTGGACCTGGAGTGAAGAGAGACCTGGTTTCAAATCCTAGATGATCTCCAGAACCCCTTCCAGCTTTAAATTCTATGATTATGATTAAATTCCTGCACGTTGCAAATGTGCTGCCCTAGCAGAGTAGCTACAGTTTGGCTCATTTTTGAAGAAATAAGCAGGAATCGTTACTTCTCATTTGAGATCTTCACACATTAATTGACAGGAGTCAATTAATACAGAAAGACATATTAAAGTAGCATGGAACACCCTGTAATGGGAAGAACCCTGGGTTTGGCATCCGAAACTCTGGGTGTGAACCTTTGGTCTGCTACTTACTGCCCTTGTGACCTTGAAGGCCGCAACTTGGGGATTTTCTGGGCCTTAGTTTCTTCTGCTATGAGATCAACAAGTTGGATTGGACCAGGTGCTCACCAAAACTTTTAGTGAGTTCTGTGTTCTCTGGTCCTAGGATCCTATACTCCTTAAGTTAGGTGCACTTCATTATTGATCCTTTGTAAAATTTAAAAGTAATTATTAGTGAGTTTTCCAAATTAATGGTTTTCTTAAAGGTGAGCAAAAATAGACTGAAAGACATCTTTGCTATGACACCTGCTCAAGAGAAGCAGTGGAAAAGCATTATAGAAAGGGCCCAGATATCTTTTTAAATTATCTGGATTTATGTGTATGAGGAATCTGTTCCAATGGTAGACATTTGGGGATATGTTCTGAATTATTAGGAGCGTATTCCTGGAATTAACTGTAAATAATATTCAGTCATCCTTTCTGCAGTGGTAGGCCTTTAGCTGTTCTAAATGCTTCACTTTATCAAAATTGTAGGAAATAGAGCACTGGAAACTTGCTTCTTGTTAAGTGCCCTTTGAATAATTATCGGCTTAACTCCTGTTACAGTTTTGACCACACAGTAGTTGCTCTATAAAATCTTAATTAATGAAGAAATAACGTTTTATTTCTTTTCATAATCACAGAATTATTTGAAAGTGAAAAGAAAATAGCATAGGCTTACACCTCTTCCCTAGTCTTAACTCAGTAAATAGAATTATACTTAGAATTCAGATTAAAATTTCTGAAGTTCTAACTTATTTTTTAAATGCTTTGAGTGCCATTGACATTATATTCATTTGTAGTTAATTATGTTTTTATATTATCTGCGTAATGTTTTTATTTCATCAGTGAGTTGAACTGTAAGAATAGAGGAAGTTTAAAGTATTATAGGTAAACTCACTCATTTGACTGTCATGTGATATTAGCCCCAGGCAAAATTAAATTGTGCAGTGTAATTAAGGAAGTCCTTACTTTTTCCTACCAGATTTTTGGTACCTTTCATCCTTAAGATGTAGGGCCATTCCTGTTTCTTATGAAGAAGAGCCTTCCCTGAATTCTGGCCCTCTCCTTTTGACCCTCTTCTATCCTTCATTGTGCCTTATTGCCTCAGCACCCTGCCTTTGGGTTGGCTAGGTCAGGAGTGTCTGGCCAGGCCTCCTGTCTTTGTGTCAGTAAATATACTGATGTGAGGCAATTGATGACATTGCTATTGCTAACACAGTAAGATATTAGGTATTAAAAGTTGAAATTCACCTTGTTTTAAGATCAGTGGCCGTATATTAATACACTTATCTTCCTACTCAGGAAGTGCCACATGAATCATTGCCTTCATGTTACCACCCACAAAGGGAACATTGAGGAGAAGTTCACCTTTATAGTCACATTCTTGGTTATTCAAGGACACTTCTCTCTGCTTTCCTAGATGACCTCATTTCTCCTTCTTGACTTACTTGGGGACATTTTTACTGCTCATTCCATCAGGGCATAGCAAAGGGAAGCAGGTGAAATTGTTCTCTTTTGCCATATATTGGCTGCTCTGATTTAAAGGCGGAGAACCTGGTGAAATAGATGGCTAAAAGAAAGTTTTAGTTATGCTTATGAGTTTCATTAGTGATTATTTTTTGTTTATCTTTTCTCTTGGACAGAATGATGGGAATGGCTCACAAGATGTTCAACTATCATTGCCGTCAAGTCCAGAACCAGAACCAGAGGTCGGGGATCAGATATATAAGGTACAATGAGTAGGACAGTTCCATTTGTTTTAATTTGTCATTGTAATCACAGAATTGGAAGAGACTTCAGAAGGCTTGTAATCTAACCTGAACAAGAATCCCTGACATGTAGTTGTCCAGCCTTTGCTTTAACACCTCCCCTGAGGGCAGATCCCTTATCTCATGAAACTACTGTCCATTTTACTTTTGGGTCATTCTGGCTATTAAGTTTTTCCTTACAGCAAACTGAGCTTTGCTTCTTGATAACTTATTCTGCACTCTGGCATCAAACAGAACAAATTGAACCCTTCTTCCATATGGAGGAAGGGTTCAGTTTGTTCTGCTTGATGCCATGCTTAGAGACAGGAGTGTAATTACACCCCCACCCCTCCCCACCCCACCTCAACAAGCCTTCTCTTCTCCAAGCTCTATGTCCTCAGGTCCTTCTTCCCGTCCTCATATAGCAGGACCTCAAGGGGCTTCACTATTTTATTTTTCTTGTTCTGAATGCTCTCCAGCTTATCAGTGTCCTTTCTGAAACGTTCCCAGGATGGAATGCAGTACTATAGATATTGTGTGACAAGGGCAGAGGACAGGGAAAGACGTGTGTCCTCAGCCCTGGGAACGCTCTGTTTCCTTCATGCAGCCCAGATGATGCCACGGTAGCTTTGAGGGCTGTCGTGTGGCCCTGTTGACTTCATGAGCTTGCAGTCCTTCAAAGCCCACCATGTTTTTTTTTCAGACTCAGTTTCAGTTTTCAGATTAACTCTTGGCTAATGCTTTCCCTTCTTGTATTGAGAAGGTTTTGTGTTTTTGGGTTTTTTTTGATTTTTTTTCCAATTCCAAGAATTTTTTTTTCCTGTTCCTGAAGGAGACCAGAGAAGCCGAACTTAAATCTAATGTTCTTTCTTGTTTACAAGTGTTTATCTTCATAAATGTAAAATTGAGTTTATTTATATGTAAATTAGGTTTTTTAAAAGATAGGAGCAGATAAATTCAAGGAGTACTTTAGTTCTCAGTTTTGATTTCTTCAGTCAATTACACAGCCTTATTATTAAGGAGATATGCTGTAGGTTATTGCATAAATGTATCACTTTCTTAGTGGCTCAAAGGGATTTTTTAAGTCTGTCACAAATTATTTTAGTTTCTGTGTGGTCATTGGATGCTGTCATATGGAAATAACTGTGGGTTCAAGTCCTATCCCTGACATGTTCTTATCCTGGCCTTGCAGAGAAGGCCCTGACCTGCACAGGTAACAGGAATTTCCTGAACTGGAAAGTTTCCTGGACAGAGGAGATCCCAGACCTTGTGTTTCTCCCTGAAGCTTCTTCCCAGAGAATTTCATGTTTCCTTTTTCCTATTTTCTGTATCAGAATGAAGATCTATTAAATGACATAAAACTCCTTAAAGAAGAATTAAAGAAGAAGGATGAAAAAATCCAGCAGTTGGAGCAGCAGCTCGTAAGTGTGACTGTGTGTGTTCTAATGGAAAACCTTTCCTACCAGGCAACACATTTTCCTAACTCCCTTGATGTCATGTTGGGTCTGGTGTTGTTCATTTTGGTTTTTTACACTATTGAGAACCATCATACTGAATGGTGCACTGTTTCTGAGTCCTTTAAATCTGAAATTTTTGTGATCTGAGGCCACATGAGCAAATGTTTCTATTTTCAAAAAGGGGAAGAAGGTAGGTTCTTCATACTGTAACTCACTTTTTCATCAAGATCGGTTGTGTCTAGCTATTTACTTTCCTTTGGGAGCAGGGAGCATTACTAGACATGTAGATTAGTACACTTTTATAAAGTATACCTGGTTTTCAGTAAAGAATTGACAAGGTCTTTGACTGTATCGTTGTGGATAAGATGAAGAAATGTATACTAGATGACACTATGAATAGGTGGCTATGGAAGCCATTGAATGATCAGAGTCAAAGAGTGGTTAATTAATCTAAATCATCCTGAGAGGGATGTCTCAAAGGTATGCCCCACAGTAATCTTACCTGTTCTGTTCAGTATTTTTTGAAAGGGCCATAATTAGCAATTTTTGCCAGCTGGGACAAGTAGCACAAAAAACATACTTTCAAATATGTTGAGAAGTCTGTAGAAGGGTATGGAGAAAAAGGAACTCATTTGAGGCATAGTCATTAGGAAAAGAAAGATGCTATAGGATAGTTTTCTATTTAACTCATTCTTGCTAATGAAATTCTAAGTTTTGCTGCTAAAGAACCCTAAGTGCTATCAGTACTCTTTAAATTTCAGTGTCCTGGGTCAAAGACTTAGTTATCTGCAAAATATCTATTATATTGGATGACAAAATCAGGATACAAAAACATCTTGGTAGGCTAAAATGATGAAACATACTTAGTAAGGTGAAACTAATACTGATAAATATAAAATCCTGTCCTTGGTCTTAAAAAAATTAAATACAAAAGGGGAACTTATGACTAGAGAGCAACTCATGTCTAATGATAAAAAAAAGACCCAGAATGTGGAGTGATACCACTTAACCTTTCCATCTTTTGCTTATGCTACATTCTCTAGTTGATGCATTAGAGAATGTCCAGAGAAGGGTGACCAGGCTAGCAAGAGGACTAATTATCATGCCTTATAAGTAATGATAGCAGAAGTATACTTAATGAGGGGTGTGCTAGTTCATTCTAGGTATTTAAAGGGTTCTTGTATGGAAGAAGGGTGTGGTTCATTCTGCTCGACTGCAGAGGACAGAGGTGATAGCAATGGGTGTATATAAAGAAAAGTTTCCTAATAATTAGAGCTATCCTAAAGTGACATGGGCTATTTCTGGAGGTATTTAGTTCACTTGGAAGTCTTCAAGCAAAGGATGGGTCACTGCTTGTGGGAGATATTGTTGAGAGGGTTTTTGTTAAGGTGTGAGTTAAGACTCAGCCATGTGTTGGTAAATGTTTAACAACCTGCTCTGGGGGAAAAAATTTGTAAAGGACACATTTTAAAGTTTAATCTGCATTATTGACATTTTATCCATCAGTTTCTTAAATCTAGACAAGGGGTTGGCAAACTTCAGGCCTGTGGGCCAAACCCATCCCTGTTTTTGTAGGGCCTATAAGCTAAGAATGGTTTTTATTTTTTAAATAAAATCTTGCTGTATTTAAAAATGTAAAAACCAATTTTATTTCATGGCCTTATAAATACAGTTCTGGGGGATTTGGCACTCAGGCCATAGTTGGCTGCTGGTTCAAGTTGATTCCAGCATACTTTGGACTAGATGACCCTGGAAGGCTCCCTTCCACTTCTTCTGTGTTTATGGTTTTATAATTCAGCCCTCGGAAGGCTCTGGCTCATCATTAGGTATTGTACAGAGTAAGCAAAGCCCTGTTTTCTTCTTAAATGGATATGATAGTGTTGACTGTACGGAAAGAATCTGTTAAAGTCACTTATTATTGCATTATCAGTTGAGTCAGGAAATAGATCTAGGATTAAAGATTGACTTCAGGAGTCACACAACAGCTGAACAGGAATTCTTTCTACAAAGTCATTGAGAAAGGATCATCCAGACTTTGGATATCTCCACTGAGGGGAAACCCACACCTTCCGAGGCATCTTCTTTTGCTTTTGGTGGAGCTCATCCTAAGGAACCTGGCTGCTTTTATTTCTGACTCTCTTCTGTCCAGGCCAAACAGAACAAGTTGATTCTTCATCCACATAAGAGCCTTACATCTACTTGAAGACAGCCATTGTGTCATGATGCCCTCTCCTTCCAGCCGTAGCTCTGACCACTCTCTGTGTATCCTATAGTCTGTCTTTTCGCTAGGCTAAATATTCCCATTTCCTTCAGTTGATCTCCTATTCATGATCTTGAAGTCCTTTATTATCATGGTTCCCTTCCTCTGCACACTCCAGCTGATCAGTGTTCATGCATCGTAGTGGAGTAAGTGCTGAGCCTGGAGTCAGGCAGACTGGGGGTAAGATCCAACCTCAGATATTTCCTAGTTGTGTGACCCTGGGCAAATCATTTAATATCTGTCTTCCTCAGTTTCCTCAACTGTAAAAATGGGGGTTATAATAGTACCTATCTCCCAGAGTTGTTGTGAGGGTCAAATGAGATCACATTTAAAGTGCTTAATGCCTGGCATGTAGTATACTTAATCTTTTCCCCCTTCTCTTTCCTCTTAATAAAATACGTCATTCAGAACTGAATACAATATTCCAGATGTGATCTAGCCAGGTCAGAGAAGAGTAGGACTATCACTTCCATAATCTTGAATACTCTTATGGAAGTTTAATGTCACATTAGCTTTTTTGGCCATAGTATCATTCTGATGATTGATATCTAATTTGCAATTAACTCAGACCAGCCCCTAACTAGAAAATGAGGCTACCATGCCGCAGAGGAAGATCCTTTTTAAATCCACGGTGCCTAGCAACACAGTATGCTCAGTTGTTTGGTTGATACCAAGACTGGAGGGACTTTTTCAGTAGCACGCTACGGAGCTTTTCTTCAGTTCTCTTCTACCTCTGTTCCATCTTGCATACCACAGCCAGATTTAGATTCCTTGTGCATAGATTTTGTCATGTCATTCCTCAGCTTACTGCTTTTCAGCAATATCCAATCAGTTGCCAAGTCCTGTTGATTTTACATTTGTTAACTTCTCGTGTGAATTGAGCTTCTCTTCTTTAATTTGCTACCATCCTGGTGTAAGTCATCGTCACCTCATACTTAATCTGTTGCAGTAGCCTTCTAGATTCTGTAAAGTCTGCCCTCCTCAAGTCCCTCCTCACTGCAAGCTGGCCTCCGCCCAGCTGTCAAATTGATCTTCCTAAAACACAGTTCTTACCATGTCATGCCCCCACTCATTGGAGTCCAGTAGTTCCCTATGACCTCCAGTATCAAATATAAAATTATCTGCTTGGCTTTTAAAGTCCTTCATAACCTGGGGCTCTCCTACCTTTCTAGTCTTCTTATACCTTATTCCCCACCACATAAATTTGTAAAGCCCAGTGGTGTAGGCCTCTTGGATGTTTCTTATATGTGGCACTCTCATCTCCCAGCTCCTCATTTTCACTGGCTGTCCCCCCCATGCCTAGAATTCTGTCCCTTCTCATTTACAACTCCTGGCTTCCCTCAAGTCTCAGCTGAAATCCTCCTAAAAGCCTTTCTTTGTCCCTCTTAACGTTAGTATGCTGTATATATCTTGTTTGTACATGGTTGTTTGCATGTCATCTCTCCATTAGACTGTGAGCTACTGGAGAGCAGGGACTTTTTTGTTTTCTTTGTGTCCTGAGCACTTTACAAAGTGCTTGGAATGTGATTTGATTATTGCCAAGGGAAGTTCAGGCTCATTTTCATAGCTTTCCTTTTTAAAATTTTATCTTTTTTATTTGGAACTTAAGCACAGAAAAGAGCACTTCCATGTATACTGCATTACATAAAAAGATGATTGCATATGAAACTATGAATCTTCATTTCATACATTTTATTGTTTTGTTAAATGTATAATAAATTCCACATGATAATTTCAAAACTGTTGTTTTTGTATGTGCTTCTGCCTGAACTTCCTTCTGTTCTCTTTGTATTTTAAAAAATGTTTTAATAGCCCTATTATTTTCTGTCATCATCGTTACTTTACTGCCTTCTCCCATCTCCCTTCCCAATTAAAAACTAGGTTAGGAAGAAAAAAACCCATTGTAACAGCTATAGTCAAGCCAAATGAGTACACATTATAGCCATGCTAAAAAGGTGTGTCTTTCTGCCCTAAATTCTATCACCACTCTGTCAGCGGGTGGGCTAAAAGTAGTGTTGTTCTGGGTAGACATGGTTGATCATTGCTTTGTTCAGAGTTCTTATTTCTTTCAAAGTTGATTTTCTTTACAGTGTTGTTATTCTTACATAAATTGTGGTTTTGCTCACTTCACTCTGTATCAGTACATATATATGTACTAGTCTCTGAAATCATTAAGGCTCAATAATACTTCATTACCTTAATGTATCCTAATTTTTTCAGCCATTCCCCAGTTGATAGATATTCCTTTAGATTCTAGTTCTTCTGCCTTTCTCCCCTCCCCCTCCCTGAATCAGGGAGTTTGTTTTGCTAACGATTTCCTCCTCTGTACTAGTCTGCTTGCTTGTTTTCGTCTTGAGTTTATTATATTTCTGCAATAAACGTTGCTGTGTATGTTTTTTTGTCAAATTTCTCCTTTGTCTTTTTTAGATTAGAGTGAAGTTCATCTGACACCCATTTTCCCTACCCCATGTTTGTACAGTCATCTTCTCACATACCCCAGTTATGAGAAATAGCAAGCTCCACCTTCCTCTTCCTCCTTTCTACAACATTAGTGTATTCTTTTTCTTATCCTTTCTCTTTTCCTTCTTAAAACCCACAGAAAGAACCATTCTACCTCCAAGTCTTCTGTTTGAAGACATTAACGTTTTGAAGGAACACTTGTGTGTTCTCCTTCTGTTAAAATGTTAGCACAGCATTAAGTCTTAAGCAATATCTCCTGAGATTTTTTTTAAAGAAGCCAGTAAAATAGAGTTCTTTTAAGGAAGAGTACTATATCAATGTGCTACTGTCATGCTCTTTGAATTCTCTTGCCTTGGTCCCGGCCTGCATATTTCCCAGTACTCTTCTTCATATACACTTCACTTTAGTCAAACTGATCTGTTTATCATTTCCCTAAACCTAACTGTACTTTGCCAAAGATAGAACTGGTTACTTCCAGAAGGGTAGACATTGTACCTGTAATACAGTTTTCTTTGGTCATGCTTAAACAGTTCCTACACGGGACAGGTTTTCAAGGTCCAGTTCAAATGATACATCTTAAACTCACCCCCTCTGTGCTAAAATCATACTTTGGACATTTCCTTTATACCTTGTATTTTGTAGAAGCTTTTTGTTTAGTGTAATGGAAAAAGGACTGGATTTGAATTTTGCTGCTAGCTACTTATCTCTGTAGTCTTGGAGAAGTTGCTGTGTCTCTCCTCAGTCTCAGGACACTGAGGGAAGGGGCAGTGAGATTCTGTAGCTTGCCCACAGTCACCCAAGTAGTCAGAGCAGAGTAGAATTTGAACTCATGTTCACTTTCGCCTAATGCAGTGCTTATTTCACGGCCACCTCCTCTATGCGTCTGTATAAATATTTGTTGTTTAAAAAGAACATAGTAAAATGATTTCTGGTACTACAAATAATCCAATTTAGAATTTAGTAAATAACATCACTTTATGGTAACATTTTCAAACATTTCCTCTCTTTTATCCTCTCCAATATATTAAATCCCTTTATGCTGAACACAAAAGAACCATCTAAATTCTTCCTTTAGATTGGAAATTGTTTATTAGAGTTTATGCATTCTTTTATTTCACAGAGAATTTTTTGCTCTAATTTGTTTACTGTAATAGGATTTAACTTGTACTGGGCAACTGAAAAGCTATAATTATTCTATGATCTCATTTTCACTCACAGAAAATTCTTAGTCATTTGTACAAAGCAACAATTTAGAAGCTTAACTTAATGGATTTTTCTTTTACAATTTTTCCTTCAAGGCTGGGAATTTATACTCCTACTGGGCTATTTACCTAGTTGCTATGGTCGCATCCTAGCAGGGAATAGCACTCTCAAGATTAATATCCATTTCTACTTTTTTTGGATATCGTTATTATTTGAGACTGTGTTGCACTTGAAACTCAGGATTGTGCAGAGAAGCATGTTTAGTAATCATTCTTATTTTATTTTGGGATATATATGTTCTCTGGGTGGGTAATATGTATAGAATTAGTTTTTAAATTAGAAGTCATTTGCCAGATGGATCCTGCCCAAGCAGAGAGCTATTTAAAACCAACGCATGTTAACACGTTCTAAAAGAAAGTGCATGGAGATGGACACGTCACATTAAATGGGTGACCGGCTGCATGAACAAAGCAGCCTTCCTCTGGTCAGGTAGGTTTTTGCAGATGGTCCTTCATCTTTACTTTTTCAGGAACCAAGCTACTATGTTTGTTTTTTTCTCCCTTTTGAATAGTGACAAAGTTGACAGAAGTTATTTTGATATGTTTCTGTTCTTAATCCTCAAAAGAGACTTCTAGGTAATTATCATGACCAATCACCTAATTTATGTGTCTGCATGTACACAGCAAAGTATATATCTATTTATTATTTTTGTTGTTTTTTCTTGTTTGTCTAGGCCACTAGGTGTAAATGCCACCAGAATTCTAAAGGGGAGAAGTGCACATATGCCGATAAATACACACAAACATCCTGGAGAAGAATTTCTGTGAGTAATGTGCCCATCTTTGGTCCCTTCCTGAACCATTTAGTGTTGAATGTTATTGTTTTGCTCTGATCATTTCCTCTTTTATAGATTTTCCTCTTAAAGTTTTCCGCCCTTACAGTTCTTTTATCTATTGCCTCTTAAATATTTCTATGCCTCACAAAGCTTTCATTGTGAAGTTCTATAGAAATGGATATGTGTTTTTATATTTTTTTTCCATTTTGCACACTGATGTAACTCAGCCTGGGCATGTAATCTCCTTTCATTGCACATATGTCAGAAAAATAGGATTTGCAAATATGTCAAAGGAGCAAAGAACAACATGTATTTTTTTCTCCTTGGCGATATATGTGAGGCCATGGAAAGTATGACATATGTGAGTTTCTTGTTGAAGCATTTTGTACTGTTTCATTATTATAATTACTCAACTAAATGGCAGGTACTTTAAATTCAGTTGTTTCAAGTTCCATGTAGTAAGTAGGTTATCTGTTGTTTGGCATGGTTAGAGAATAGGCTTTTCAGGTTAATAGCTATTGCATAGTCATAGACACGTTGTCATATGGCAAAGACGTAGAACACAGTACTGTATACTTGCCACTTAAACTATACTGAGCATAATTTAGTCTAAGATTATTCCAGCCATTTTAGGATCTTGTAGTGCCTTAGGATCATCACCAGAGTTTTCTCTTAGAATGCTAGCTAAACCAGCTGTGACCATCTTGTGTTTTCTTAAATTCATCAGGGAGATTCTAGTGACATAACTTAGTGCTGGTATTCAGTGATCCCACCTACAGAGCTTTTCATGCTTCAAGCAGCATGATATAATACTAAAACAAACAAATAAAATAACAAAAAAAACCCACCATTGGTTATTGAGTCAGAAGACTTGGATTTGAAACTGGACTATCCCCGTGGCACCTCTGGACCTCAGTTTCCTCATCTCTAAAATGAATCATCATTCTTGTGACAGTCTTGACTTGCATTATTTTGCCTCAGTGCAAGGGGAGGGGAAGGGAGAAGAGAGGAGGGATACCATGATATAGGTTTGGCAAGCTCTAAGCTAAAATAATAGGGCTGTGAGGAAAAAACAAAAGCTCAGCCTGCAGGCATATCTGGGCCAACTCTCTGATGCTACCTAGTATACTTAAGAGAGAAAAACCACTGGCTCTAGTCTAAGTGAAATGAGCAGCTTCCTCCCTTAGTTGCTAAGCCATCAGCCTTCCAGACCAGTTATTCAGCAAGTCATAAAAGTTAGGAGATTTCTAAATTTCAGAGGCAATAGGATATAGTCAGGAGAGATCTAATTTCCAGTCTCCATTCTGATAATTAATGGTTTTATGACTTTGAACAGTCATTTTACCTCTCTTTGCCTCAGTTTCCTCATCTTTAAAATAAGAATAATAATTTCACAAAGTTGTTGAGTTAAATCTTTATTTAAATTTAAGTTGTCATTCTTATTTTTATTTCTTTAACAAGTCAGATTATTTACAAATGTGTGTATTGAGGTCTTCCCCATTGCAAACATGGTGGAGTTTCATCTTAACCTGCTTCCTAGGGCAAGCTGCTTGATTGGCTGTGCTCTGATTGGAAAATTGAAGGATTTCTGACAGAATCTTCAGGAGACTTGAAAACCCCCTACCAGTTGAGGCTACTCACCAGCAGCAGTGTCAAGGCAGTGCATATGTGATAGGCAAAGCAATACTCTTTTCTGTTCCTGAGCCAGGAACAAATATAGAATGAAGGAGTGTTACTGGATTTTTCATGTAGGGTCTGACACAGCCTATCTCCAGTGAGTTATAAGAGCCCAGCTTCTCCATGCTTACCTAACAGTCTTTGCAGGTCATCGATTTTCTTCACTCCAGGTTGGGGTTGCCCTTTAGATAATTGAAGGTCAGTATCACGTCTTTCTTAGGTCTTCTTGCAAAATATCTCCAATTCCATCAAGTGATCCTCACATGACATGAGCTCTTCATCATCCTGATTGCCCTTCTGTGGACATTGTCCATGTTATTAATGATTTATCTAAAAGATGGCACCCAGACCAACTGGGCCAGACAGTAGTGTTCACAAAGGCATACACAGTGGGGAGACAACAGCTGCCTTGCTCAAGATGAGAATGAATGAAAATCTGGTATGACAGGTTTGCTTATGCAATGTCATGCTTTCATATATTAAAATACCTTGACTACCTTTCAGATATTTATAAGAAGTAGTTTCCAAAATCTTTTCAGTCAGGGTTAGTGGTGAACTTAGATGGTATTTTAACAGTCCTAGGCCATATTGAGAATCAGTACACAAAGTTAGCTTGGACCATGCGTTAAAGAACACAGAGTGCTGTGGCTCCAAGCAAACAATATGGATCTTAGCACATTTAAGCTCTTTGTAACACTCCCTTCACTGCTTGTTTCTGGCTTGCTTTACTGAACTCTTTGTATCTTTCAGACTGACTATGTTCTTGTTACTGATGCTGAACCTCATTACTGACCAAAATCTTTGAATTGTTTTGTTGATGCCTCCTTGTTATGGAATTGAAACTATGAATTATCCTGACAGGCCTTAATACCATTTGTTTTGCTCTCCTCACACCCTGCCATAGGCATTTCCACCTAGTGGTATGTATCAGGCTGTACTTCCAGCTTAGTGCTCCTCAGTGAGATGGTGGGAATGAGAGAATAAGCCATGCAGTGGTCTGAGTGAGCTGGAAAACATAAGCTTCTGGGGATAGGTTATGACTAATGGAAGAAATGCTCTTGACACCAGCAGCAGCTGGTTTGGGTAGATTCCCTTACCCTTGCCTAGAGCTGTGAGCCCCTGGGGAAATTCTCGGGACAAATTGATGAACTTGGTTTGGGTATTCTGGTAACCAGAAGTGTGGGTTGTACCTTACTGTCCCCCATTTAAATGAAAGTTGGCTTCCTGCTCTAAAGCTTTCAGAGTGCAAAGTGGATATCACAATTCATGACAGTTAATCGCTCACTGCTAGAAGAATTCAAATGCTTCATGGCAGCTCAAGCAAATTTTTGAGAATACAACATGCCTCCCTATCCCTCTACATTTAGGAAAGGTTGTAATTGAAGCAAACAAAATTAGATTAGAGACCAGTGAGAAGAGCCAGAGATCCTTGATTCTTCATAGCTCATATGTACAAGCTGCAGTACTTAGCTAAAAAGTATGGGAGTTCACTCAGGACCTTATACCTGCCTATGTCTCTTTAGATTCTGTCATCAGAATGTTGTACGTTTCTAGGCTTGTGTCAGAAAACCTAATAGTCATGTCATCTCTGCCTTTTTCCAAATATTGTTGAATAGACAAAACATTGTTCTGAGATGATATGTGTTTATGTACATATATTGTAAAATGACTGCTTATTTTAGAACGAACTGTGAAAGTAAATTTATTATTAAGTAGGCTAGTCAAGGGAGATAATTTGTTCCAGATTTTAAAAAAAAGGGTGGGTGGAATATTTTGGCTAGGTATGTCATTTTAGGGTATAGGTCAGGTCCACAGGTCCGTAGTTCATGCTTCATCTTTAGATGTAGTTGGTCAGTGTGCTCCCAGAGCAGGTTTAGAACTCTCAACAGTAAGTGCACTAAAGAAGAGTATTACCCAAGTCATACAGCCCCTGAGACCTGATGTCACTGCTTCTCTTGCCATTTGCATGCTGATGAGTACAAGTATGTTTGTATTTTATAGAATGCTATGTAGATCTCGTCTTTGTCAGGGAAAACATAGAGTCCAACAGCACTAAGCTGTTGATTGAAAATGTTAAATAACATAGGGGCAAGCAGAAAACCCTGGGACACTTCAACAGAGCCTACTTCCAGTTTGACAATAAAGAGCCACTGAACATTTTTGAACAGGGGGCTGGCATGGTTACCCTACTGACTTAGAAAGATTATTTTGGCAGCTGTGTAGAAAGTGGATTGCAGAGAGGAAAAAAATGAGCTTAGAATTGCTAGAGGAGCAGCACTCTTCCCATAGAACCTGAGCCATAAGAATAACTCATACTAACAGAGATGGCCAAGTTTGTGCCTCTACAGCATGACTCAGTCAGCTACTCCTCTTCCAGTTCTAGGGCTTCATGCTTGATCCTCCTCATACCCAAGAGCTTGGGTCTAGATTTTTTTTGTTTTTCACTCTCTTTTTAAGATGTAATCATTGTTTATTGAATTGAACAGAATAGGGAGGTTCGAAGGAAGAGTTGATGTAGGAATGGAAGATAATGAATTCTTTTTGGAACATGTTGAGTTTGAGGTTCTGATGGGACGTTCTGGTGGCAATGTCCAGCAGATGGTTGACAATGCAGTACTAATAAATATTAAGGCTAGATAGATAGATAGATTTGAATGTCATCGGTGGAGAGATAATCATTGACCTGTGGGAATAGCTGAGATTACCAAGAGGGTAAGTAGAAAGAAAAGGAGTCCAAAGACAGAGCTTTACATGAGACAGAGCAAAGGATACTGACAAGAATTCAGAACAATAGAAGAAAAGCTAGAAAAGACCCATGTCACAGAAGCAAGGAATCCTGGAGTATAGGGATTGAGCAACACTGTCAAAAACTTCAGAGATATCAAATTGGATGAAGACCTAGAAAAGGCCTTGTAACTACGAAGAGTGCTGGCAATGTTGGGAAGAACTGTTGTAGCTGAGTGATAGGTTTAGAAGCTATATTACAAGTTGAGAAGTGAATGATAGTGAGGCAGTGTGGAGGCAACAAGTGGCAGTGATTTTGTATTGATGAAGAAATAAATGAAATAGAATGTCAAGAGGGCCGTTATAAAATATATCTTCATATATTTCAGTGGATTTGCAGTCTCTAATGTGTGCATTCCCACCATTGGTACAGTCTGTAACTCATCCATGTCTTCTCATCCTGGGTGATTATTGTCTACATATTCCCATATTTCCTCCTTCAAGGATTTACCTAATGTCTAGAGATCTTCTTCCTGTCTTTTTACATTTTATGGGTACCAAAGCAATACTCTGGCTATCTATCTCTT